AGGTATCAGTGAGTAAACTGAGCGTGTCTACCTAAATAGTTCTTGTGCGCAGTAATTGAGACAAATTTAGACAAGAAAAAACTGTTCCGCGCTTAACTTTCCGTAGTCTTCCGCGTTTAGATTTCCGCAGCGAAACTATGCAAACAACGACAGTAATGGCTGCCACCAACCACGCGAATGAATCCGTACTTTAACTGTCGATAATTCCAAAACGGTGGATTTTATCAAATTTATCAAACCAGATTCGAATGAAGCATGTACAATTACACATAAATGTAAGATTCTGGAAATTTTTAATGCGAACTGGGCGCGGGTGTTACACTGCAAATTAACCGTTAAATGTAAATCTAAAAAAGAATTCAATTACCGACTAAGATTATTCCAGAGAAAGCCATTTAAACCATAGCAAGGTAAAGTAATTATTCATTTTCTTATACAAAATGTCCTTACCTTTTATTGTCTCCGTATAATGACCTGAGTATAGTGTATATAACTGATGGAATGAGTGGAATACCTGTTTAAATAAACACGAGATCATTAAAGAAAAATTCTGTTACTCTCACACCAAAGCGAACAAATTTTAGAATTTAGTTTATTTGTAGGAAATTATCACAGGAACGCTTAAAATGTAATACACACCAGAAAAAAACATCTTGCTGTTTAGTAGTGGTTAACGAGCTAGCTTACAAAAGACACATAGAATAGCTAACAAAAATCGCCCTTGCCAACTTGGACCTTCCGTATGTTATTTTATCTTCAACGCTAACTACAGATATTTTGTACATAATTTTGTACTTCCATGGTATATATATATATATATATATATATATATATATATAGTTTGCATATAACCTACTGGTATAAAATTATTTCTTTAAGGTAGGACATTATGTTGACAGTTTCAGTATTTTCAAATAGTTTTCTAATTTTGTTTTTCTTCAGAGATAATAATGATTTAGTGATACAAGTCTTACTAATTAACCCATAGCTGGGGGAGTGGGGGAGAAGAAATGGATTCATATCTTTCCCAAGAGTACTTGCGCGTAAGTGAATATAACAAACCCAACTGGAATCTGAACTCGGCTCTCCGATTTTCAATTTGAGCCATTATCATTAAAGCTGCACAAAAACATACATCACCTGATATTCCGAAGCGGTTTTTTTTTTTACTGCCACCATATCTCCTTCGTTGGCCTTCGGTGATAGTAATTAAACCAATGTTTCAGTGTGATATGGCCGTAATCCCTACTCCTATAATATTTTTTACTAAGAACGATGACATTATTATTATTATTGTTATATTCTTTTATGCGGCAAGTCCTAATTATCCTGTCCCTTGTAAGAAATGTCTACCTCTTTACCATTCTTCTTTGTCTCCTCTACGTCCATTAATCCTCCTCTACGCCCCTTCCTTCAGTGCGTCCTGTGAGTATTAAATTTTCCAAGCCATTCTTCCTCAACGTGTCGTAGAAATTTCAACCGCTCTTTTCTGGTTTTAACAATGTGTCATTCTCGTTCACATTTTTTTTATGACTTCCTTGTTGTTCACATGTTCAGTCCATGGTATTCTCAGAACAGCATCTGCCTGTAAAACCACGTATATGGCGCTTCAAACTTATTCATCAGTAAAAACTTTATCTAGGGAAACCAGATTAAATGTGCGTCGAAAAAACTTTTCATATGAAAACCTGCAGAATATCTGATAAGCGACAAGTCGTTACAAATAATTGAATTGCATTTTATTTTTTGAAGAATAAAATTGATAAAGAAAAACGGAAATTATTTATGACTAAGCCTAATATAATGATCAATCTTGCGTTTTAAAATTATTAAGTGATTTATTAAACGATCAATTAAAGTTATAATTACAGAATTTTATGCTAAAATAATGAAGCTTTTTATAAATTTATTTTCTGCGAACCCTGTACAAATGACATTTGCTGGTATAAACGCGGAGAACTCTTTTCTTTCTTTCTTTTGATAATCATTCTAAATATTTAGATAAAAATTTCGATTTATTTTTTGAGAAGAATAATATACGATTCAATGAATAAAAAAGTTTGTCTCGAATTACTGCAGTAACAAAATTAGTGTTAATTCTATATTATTTCAGCTGCTCTAAAAATGGATGCTTTTATGATTTTATTTTCGATGTAATCATACAAAATATAAAAATTGATCGGTGTTTATCTTGACGTGAATGTTTTATTATAAAGATCTCAGCGATATTAAATTGATACCTAAGACACACTTAGTAAACTTTTCTGTAAAATATTGTTGCTAATATTTTTCTATAAGATTTTAAAACAACGTGTCGTTCGTGGCGGGTTTTATAAGAATTAAGGCATCTTTTGAGCAGCACATAAAATTATATGAACGTGGAAATAAAGCTGAAACAGAACGTTCTAACTATATTTATGAAAAGATATTAACAAGAAAAAAGAGTTGCAAAATGATGAACAGAGTCCTAAGAATGAAAACAAATTGGTTTGAATATATATATATATATATATATATATATATATATATATAGTATGTATTATGGAAATAAAAACTTAAAGATCCCTTGTTTTTCCATTCTTGATTTTAAAAAAATGACTATTGACCGGTTTAATGTTTGTTTCAGAAACTGAAATCGAGGGAAGACTAATTATTACAATATAAATTATAAATATTGACGAACATGTGATGAAATAAAGGTTAAAAAAATCAGATGGAAATAATGTCAAGCCCTAACAGGCATTCCCTCTGTTTACAGAGGGAGGGCTGTCTGAACCTGACATAGATCGTTTCCAATTCCTTTAAGTGTAACACATCATGAGCATGACTAAGGATGGAAAAAGAGTCAATGTGGAAATTCGTGGCACAACTTGGATAAAGGTGCTCAGAGATGACGGAGTCGTATGTGTTCCTGATCTTGTCACCAGATTGGAACGTACCATTCCTAATTTTTCCGGAGTTCTACCTACGTAGCCGACGGTCGACTGGTCAGTTTTTTCAAAATCATGAATGATAAAGCTCGTCTTGCAGTTTTTATTTCCATGATAAAATTCTGTACCCCTAAGAAAATAATGGTGTGTGTGTGTGTGTGTGTGTGTGTGTGTGTGTGTGTCTGTGTTTAATAGCACATAATTGTGTACTCGTGACAATAAAATAGTGCTCGGTGTAAAAGAACAGTTAAAATTTATATTACTAATAAATATGCATTTTGTTCCTCAGTGTTTCGTACATACCCGTGACAACCGACAAGGACAGAGTGAATCTTCAAACCCGTTGACCGTGTTCTGATTGACTGTGTAGTACAATTTAATAAAGTTCAATAGTCTAAACCAAATCGTCTATAAAATGACCATAGTTTGTACCAGTGCGTTACATTTAACATACTATCTGTGTGTTTGGTTTTATGACTGACTGAGTCAGGTAGGCCATTATGGGGACCTGAGTGTCTTCACAAAGGCAGTTTTTTCTTAGCTGCTCAAATTTTTCTTAGCTGACCATCCTTTTGAGAGCTGGTCTGCTAGTCATAGCTGGTCCAACTCTGAGACCAGTCCAAGTTCTTAATCATAGCCGTGATGCTACCAGCAAAGGGACAGGCACCAAGGTAATGATTCAGAATGTATACTCCTTTTGAAATTAAAACACTCTCACACTAGCTGGATGTTTGGGCTTTGTGAATAACCAAAATAATTCCAGGTGAGTTTATTTATTTGTAGATAATTGGTAGTCATATTAGAAGTACAGCCAGCAAGAATCGAACTCGATTTCCTTTGCAATTGTCCAAGAGATTACCTTAGATCTTCATACAGTAAAACCTAAGCAAAGTATTAAGAAACAGAATAATTTCGTTAGAAACAAAGAAAAGGACACTGAACCGTTATATAATATCAGATCGCCTATATGGCAGTGAATGCTTGACAGTGTCCTTACAGATGAAGATACTTGAAGCAACAGAAATGTGGTTCTACAGAAGGATGCTGAGAATACCATGGATTGAAAATATAAGCAATGACGAAGTTTTCGAGAAAATGGAAACAAAAAAGACACTTATACTTAATATTAGGCATAGAGCTGAAATTTATAAGGAAAACAACGAGGAAAGAGTGCTCGAGAAATCTGATACTCACATGATAGATCGAAGGCAAGAAGGACAGAAAAACAACATATTACCTACCTAACGGGCTTGAATAAATGGATGGCGGTGCAAAGTTTAGGAGAGATGACAAAAAGATAAAATTTGTTAAGAACTACAAAGGACAGGAAATTGTGGAGAGCCATGATCATCAACGCCCTGAAGGTGCGTGGCGCATAGAAGAAGGAGGAGCCTCCTATATATCTACTAAGCATAGTTTAGTTTGACAGAGAGCAGCGACAGTAGGAGACTCAGTGTGTATAAAACTCACGAAATATCAACTGACTCCAAGACGTGTTTGCGTGTTGCCATTTTTCGCGGGATACCGTACGACTGTCTTTGAGTTTGGACGTATACTCGAATCAAATCTCTTTTCCTAAATCTTTGTCCTCCATTTATCTCTCTAGGATTAAGATGTCAGGCGCTGGTGTTAAAGTTTCAGTTCAAAATAGACATTTAGAGCTAATAAATTGGGACAGACATGCAGTTTAAAAGTCACGTACGTGAAACAACACGTTTATACATAATGAATATTAAGAAGGAATCTTGGAATGAAAGACAACGGAAGGTGGGTCAGGGAAACGCCATCTGATATACAGGAGAATTACAAACAAGTTCGCATTTCCCATTAAGCGAGCGGTTACACAAAGCAAGCAAAAACGGAAACTCTGGGGTTATAGTTTGGAAAACATGCTTGGGCTTAAAATGAATATTAGGGAAAATAATATCCTGAATGAAAACAGACAAAACGAAACGAAGAATGATGCGAACGAAAGAATAAAGTAAAATTGAGAGAGAAGGAGGAAGAGCGGAGGTGAAATAATGGAAGTAGCAACAAAGGAAAAGAAATGAAAAGAATGAAAAAATAGAATCAAAGAAAGCAAAAAGAAAGAAGGAAAAAATTAAAAAAATGAAAAATACAAAATGAAAGAGGAAAAAACAAAAATAAGGAAAACGAAAAGAGAAAAGCGAAAAAAAAAGGAAAAGAGAAAGAGAGAAATGGAAAAAGAAAAATAGAAGAAAAAGGGGAAAAGTAAAAAGGAAACAATAATAAAACGAAAGAAATTAAAAAAAAGAAAAGAAAATTAGGTAAAAAAAAAGAAAGAAAGAAAACAAAATACGAAAAACAAAAGCAAGACGAAATAAATAGCAAAAGTAAAAAGCAAGCAAGAAGGAAAAACAAAAAGAAAGTAAAGGAAGAAAGTAAAAATAAAAAGCCAAAAGAGGAACAAAACGAAATGAAGGAAAGATGAAAGAAAAGAAAACTTCTTTACTTTCATTGAAAATCAAATATAAATTTTCCAAAGTTTTGTAATAACTCAAGAATCAAACAGAATCAGCGTAAAGTCATACAAATATATTTGTGTAGGTTTAATATAAGAACCAGTAGTTTTCTCACGTATATTACGCACCCCAGCCGATGACGTAACAAACATTACGAAGGTGACGACCAATGGCGAATGTTTTCACAATGACTGTGTGCATGAAAAAACCTTCGCAAAACATCCAAAAATAGTTGCAGCATGTCGTATATTGCGTTAGAATGTGTATCAGGCGACACCATACCTGAAAAATTATTCATATGTAATTTGAAGCAGAAATAATAATAATAATAATAATAATAATGACAACAACAACAACAAATATAACTTTATTCAGTAATAATGAAGGAAGTCAACACATTCAAAAGGGAATTTCAAGTGGGTGAAGAAGTGCAAATAAACCATAATGTGGCGTATTATACATACGTACCCTCTTTGATAGCGATATCAATGCGCGTCAACAGGACCAAGTTAGCACAGGACCGGGTGTCTCATCCAAGCAATTACTATAAAAATATTTATAAAAAGACACAGAGGTAACCTTACGGCGGTAGGCTTAACCAATTCGGCATCGTCTAATTCAAATCGCTTGTATAATTAATCTATCATTATTGCTATTGGATTGGATGTGAATGTATGATAATGGTAATCGGCGTGCCAATTATAAAAAAAGGAAAGTTCGTATTTACTTCCGAAAATACATAGGAAACGTTATGAAGAAAAGAAAAAAAAAAATCAGGAAGACTGGAGAAAGGACAAGCACAACTCTGAATTCAAAACTGGTTGGTCATGGGATTGGCATATGGTAATGATAATATTAGCCGGTTCCTTATAAGGAAACATTCGGCATTTGTTGACCAAACAACCAGTGCTACCGTTAGTTGAAATTTATTTTAAGATATTTTTTTCAGACAGTTTTTCAAGAAAATGGATTTAAGTGCAGTTACTGTTATTGTTCTTTCCAGTTCTGATGGAGGTTTCCTTCCTAACCTTTTGTTTGAAGTAGTGTGGAACGTCAACTGTTGTCATTATTTTCTCTTCGAGATGTATTCTATTTTAGATATTGCTATTGTTGGAAGTCAAGCCATGTAATTTCTGTTATATATTACAGTTCTTTGTGATTCTATAGCGCCAATCCACGAAGTTCAAAGAAGGATGGTCCTCGCTAAAAGCTAACGGCTATATTCGCTCGAAGCCATTTTTAATCATTGATCTGAGTAAGTGGTTGTATACAGCTGATAGTTTAGATACTTTTGAACAAGTTTGGCACCATAGATAAATTGTTAATATCTATCTCAGTTTTCATATCTATCTGCCTGAGATATATAATAACAGACTGCAATAGATATATGGATAGACAAACAGATATGAAAATTCTTAGAAAAAGTCTACTTTCTACAGAAACCATAAGAGAACACATAGCGTGGTGAGTGGGTGTGAGGGTGGTGTAATTGATAAAAGCTTGAAATGAGAAGTCGGCAGTATCGACATTGAATTTCGTTCGTGTTCATTGCGTTCACTTACCTACACATACTCTTGGGAAAAATTTGAAATCATCTCCCCCGCATCTATGGATTAAATAGTAGGACTTGTATCTGGAAAAATCATTGCTATTCTAAAAAAATTGTTAATGCAATCTTGCAATCCAAAATATGGTTTGGCTTTAAATAACCCACAAAGTGTTGATAATCCGTATATATAAAAAAAACAAAAAAAACAGTCAATCAGTAGCATGGTGATGCTGTACTTTTTCTTTTTTTTTTCTTTAATAATGTCCTTCAATACAAGACTCAAGGGTAATTCAATGTAGAAAGTCCTACAGTGTGGAGTTGTATTAGGGTAAGAAAGGGCAAGATAAGACGGAAGAGAGATAATTCTAGACTTAAAGTGGTCAAAATATAATTACCGAATAAAATTTCAGAGATCAAGCCGAGAGGTTAGGAGTATACAAACCCAATTCTAAACAGGAAACAAGTGATAAAAAGACCGGGTAGGAGTGAAACTGGATAATAGGCAAACCTATCTACTCCTATTGTGAGAGGGGAAAATATAATAATAATGATAATAATAATAATAAGAAGAATGAGAATAATAAGAATAAGGATAAGAAGATAAGAAGTGAATAAAATTTCTGATTTTAGATGGAGACGTCGAAAACCCAATCCTAAACAGCAAACAAGGGATAAACCTCTGCGCCTGTAAAAAAAAAAAAAAAAAAAAAAATCGCTGATTGTACGAACCGAACGATAGACTAACCTATTTACTCGCACTTACTTTAAAAGATTTTTTTCTGCAGAACCAATGACAATTTAAATGTTTTTTTAACACAACATTTCTAATTTAAATATATTGTGCACCTTTTTACTGTCATCAGAAGACTCTCCTATAAAAACTTATGAGACTTTTCCCAACAGATAACCTTTCCTACATAGTCATGTTTTATAACTCTACTAACTTAATTTGCTACATATACGTATTATATGACCGACACTTTCATCTATTATTATTATTATTATTGTTGTTGCGATTTTGCACACTGCCCCTCAATTATTACACACCAAAAACGTATATATATATATATATATGAAAATTATTATTATTATTATTTCAGCTACATGTTAATAGTGGTAGTAGCAGCAGCAACAAGGTTAACAATAAAGACTAACGGAATTATTTACGTTTTTTTTTTTTTTTTAAGCAATTCACCTCAAGTGTGAGAAGACTTTAGAAGTAACCGGAAACCCAATTCTAAACTGCAAACAAGTGATATAAAAAAACCGGGAGGAGTGTGAACCGTACATGTTAATATGGTGTTAATATGGTTAATGTGGTGGACTCGGCTGATAATATTGAAAAATGTTTGATAAAAAGTATGGATTCTCATTTCCGTTTTTTTATTATTATTATTATTATTATTATTATTTTCTTTGATTTCTGTTGCATGCAGATTTCCTTCCGGGGCCCAACCAGAGGCATAAGGCCAAAAATGGCTTCATGACATTTTCTACCCTGATCATTTTGGAAAAAAAAAAAAATAAATAAAACAAAACAAAAAAAAAATCCTAAGAACACGCACATAGATAAAGCTCTTTTTAATGTGTGAACTTATATTTGTGAGTACATTTTTTTGTATTTCTTTAAGGCATCGGCTACTAATAATCTCTTCAACGAGTCTATCCGAAGGCTCCAACAATAACTGGAATTATTGATGTCCTCTGGTGCCACATTTTTTAGATTTCCACTTCAAGATCCTTGTATTTTGATAGTTTTTGAAAATCTTCGAAGATACATTATAATCTGCAGAGATTGGCATGTCAAGATGAAAGCATATTCTGTTTTTGTGGTCTTTGATCATGGTGTCTGGGCAATTAATTTTGATTGTTCCGTCTGGGTGTATTGGAAAGACCCATAAAATTGTTACAGGTCCTGTCTTTGTAATCGGGTCTAGGTGACATTGATATCAGTCTCTTGCAGTTACCTTCCCGTAAAAGTGACATAATTTCCAGTGCAGATATTGGCCCACTCTATCATGCCGAGTTTTATATTCAGTTGGTGTTAACACTTTGCAACCTGATACAAGATGGGCAATTGTTTCTGGATATTTATCACAGAATCTTAATTTTGGGCTAACACAATTTTTCAGTATTTGTGCTTGGTAATTTCTAGTTAGCAAGCATTAGTCCTGCGCAGCAAGAATAAAAAACTTCGGTTCCAGCTTTTAACCCTGCACTACGTAACCACAGATGGGTACAGGTTTGTCTACACCAGCTTGTGTGCTATGGCAAGAGTATTAGCCAGAAAGAGACTTATCTTACCATCATTTCTGCATTTGGTACGTTGGATTTGATTTTGCTCTTTTTTTAGGTTCTTTGCCGCTGCAGAATGAGCATTACAGGAATTCATTTGAAACTTTAAAGATTATAATTAAAAAAAGAGTGTAGGGGGGACAAAAAATTAAAAAAATATCTGATGATACGTTGCTCTTAGTAGGACGAGAAATAAGCAGACTCTGAAATTACAGATTGAATCTACGGACTGTCAAGGACTACTCAGATATTTCAAAGTTTGCACAAACAAATCTTTGGGAACTTTTGCAGTAAACATTATTTTAGCTGTAAATATGTAACATTTATCAGGATAATATATGGATATCTTTCCTTAGGTATTTATAAATTGTACACTGTTTAATTATTAACGTTAACAACGAACTATTTTAAATTACAAAATTGTACTTGGATTAAACGAAAATTACTTACAATATAATACATATTACTTACAATACATTCCTTCTTGTCGTCAACTTTGACGGCACTCGTGGTGGTACTACTACTACTAGTAGTAGCAGTAGTAATAAAAACAACAACTAATACTACTACTATTACTAAGACTAAATATGATACACGCTATGGTTCTCGTGACCTCTGATCTTAACTGATTGTGTGTTTTTTTTATTTGGTGTGATGAGATAGGTTACAGTAAATATTCCGTTCAGTAACATGGATTTTCTTGTCAGTTGCCTGGCCTTAAACCAACTAGGCTTCTAGGAGATATCCCATTATGCATCTCTGTTCATGAGTAGCAGTAGTAGGGGCAGGCATCATGGTGGAGTGGTGAGAGAATTGTTTCTTTTTTAAGTTTAAAAGATGATGAGGCAACTAAGGCGACTTGGGAATTACATCGAGATACTTGAGAACACCCAATCGGAGACTGTCGAAACGGACTGGATTACTCGATCTGAAAGAATTCCTAACTGGGAGTAATGGCAAGAATTTGCGCTACTTTTATCAACATCTATCACCATATCGACTATGATGCAAGTGCTTGGTATACCCTTATCAAACCGTGTTTTACGATTGGGCTTCATATATTTGTACCCGAGAGTCACTTTATTGGCAAGTTGCTCTTTCAGTCAATGATAATAATAAAAGATGAAACTATCGGTCATATAGTGATTTTCCAAGCGTAGCTTAGATGTGGCACGAGTCCGAAACCATGGGGCACCCAGTGAGGATTGAACTCATTACTCAGTCGTAATTGTACTAGCGAGACAAACTAGCTAACCATTACACTGCCTTGAGGTGCTCCTGAAATGATTTTCTAAGCGAAGCTTAGATGTGGCACGAGTCCGAAACCATGGGGCACCCAGTGAGGATTGAACTCACTACTCAGTTGTAATTGTTCCAG